CATTCCCTTCTGACCTACATTGTTTCCAAGTAAAAGTCTGCTGTTAATATACTAGGGTTCTCTTGTGTCTGGGTGCGAAACTGTTCATTTATTCTACTTGCAGTTCATTGATATTCTTGGATATATAAATAATGCTCTCTTTTTTCTTCAGACAATAGGCAAGTTGTTAGCCATTATTTCATGAAATATTCTTTTCTGATTCTTTCACTCTCTTTTCTTTTGGGACTCCCATTATATATATGTTGGTTCAGTAGTGGTGTCCCACATCTCTGAGTGTTTGTTCTTTTTTCTTTTTTCTATTGACTCTCTGTTCTTTAGATTGCATAATATTTATCAATCTATCTTCAAGTTTATTGATTCTTTTCTCAGCAAATTTTAATCTACTGTTGAGCTTTCTAACATATTTTTCATTTTAGTTTGGTCTTTTCATCTCTAGAATTTGCCTTTGATTCTATCTCGTATATTGACATTATCTATTTCATGAGGCATGGTCTTCATACCTTCTATTACTTCTTTAAATTTAGTTTTGGTTAGTTCTTTAAGCATATTTTCATGATGAATTTCAAATATTTATCTTTTAAGTTTCACATCTGTTCTCTCTCATAGGCATTTTCTATTTCCTGTCCCCCCCATGTGGATTACACTCTTCTGTTTAGTTTCATATTTTCTACTTATTTGTTGAAACTGAACATTATTTTTATTGTGGTACTATATATAGAATAATATTTAAACTTTTAACGATTCACAATTTTATAATTAGTAGCATTAAATACATTCACAATGTTGTGTAAGTACTACCTCTATATACATGAAAGCTTTTTCATCACCACTGAAAACTCTCTGTCCCCATTAAATAGCAATTTCCATTTGTCCCCTCACCCTCCAGTCCAGTCAAAAATGAGTTTATTTATTCTAGAAATCTAACTTAAGTGTAATCATATAACATATGTTTTACTGTGTCTACTTTATTTCACTAAGTATAACATTTCAAGGTCAATACGTGTTGCAGTATATATCAAAATATCTTTCATTTTATGACTGAATAATACCTGGTTGTATGTATATGTCACAATTGGTTTATCCATTCATTTGTTAATGGAAATATACATGATTTCCACCTTTGGATGTTCTGAATAATGATGTAATGGAAACAGTATGCAATAGCTGTTCAAGCCCTTGCTTTCAATTTTTGAATGTATGCTTAGGAGTGGAGTTGCTTAGCCATGTGCTAGCTCTATTTTTAATCTTTCAGTGAATTTCCAATGTTTTCTCTAAAGGCTGTGGCATTTTACCTTCTCACCTGTAATGCACAAGGTTCCAATTTCTTCCTAGTTTCAACAACAGTTGCTATTTTTCTTTTAATTTAAAGCCATACTGGCTGATGTGAAGTAGTATCTCACAGATTTCAATGTTCATTTTATTAATGACTAATGTTGTTGAACATCTTTTCATGTAATTATGGGCTGTTTGTATATATTCTGTAGAGAAATATCCATTCAGTTCACAGCTCATTTTGAACTGTGTGAAAGTTTGTATTTAATTGTTATCATCATTTTTGTTGAGTTTTAGAAATTATTTACATATTCTGCATATTAATTACATATTAGATATGTGATTTTCAAAAATTTTTTCCCATTTAGTATTTTGTCTTTTCAACTTTTTAATAGCATTCTAATAATTTTGTTCTTTGGGGCTATATTGATGGATCACCTTGTAGTGAAGATCTGAGGAATGTTGGGTCCGGCCTGTCCCTCATGATTTATCCAGGGGTCCCGTGTTGGCATGTACAAGGGAGGAAGGAAAGGGATCATGAAATATGTTCCTCCCCTCATCTCCTCCATCCATCCTGACTCTCCATGCACTGCCCAGACCTGACAAGTACAGTCCCACCTGTGGGCCTTTGTCCTGCACACTCGTTCTGCAGGGTGCACTCATACCTCAGTCCCAGGTGTGCCTTTTTGTTCTCATCATCAGGGAATTGCCGAAGAGAACCTCTTAGGGAGGTCTTCTGACCATCCACTCCATGGAGCTCTTGCTCACCACTCCCATCTGTAGTTGACATTGCTTGGACAAATTCCTTTCATAGTACATATCATTGATGGAGTTGTATCTGTCTTATTTAATGGTTGATTTTTCTGATTCCTCCCACTAGAATACTAGAGTGAAACCCCATGAGAACAATATTTTGTCTGCTTATCAATGTCTAAAACCATGTATGGTGGGAATAAATAAATGAATTCTTGTGGGCCGAGGTTGAGCACCACAAAAAATCAAGTAATAGCTGTCTTCTCAAGCTGTCAGAAAAAAAAAAAAAAAAAAAAAAAAAAAACGACAGCACATGAACATAAATGAAACCTATCTGGGAAGTCATGGGACCTACAACAAAATTATACTAATAACTTCAAAATAGCTTTAAGTAGAAAAACAACACCTTATTTCAGCACCAGAACCATGAGTCTTTGCAGAAATATAAGGATGTCTGAAAAAACTGACCAGAGACAGAAAAGAGGTTGGTCTTAAATCATGCCCATAAAGAGAAAATCCACTTTTAATTGACCTAATACAAAAGAGTTTTGGTCTGTCAGGCAGAGGATAAAGGGAAAGAATTCATCATGTGCCCAGGACTCAAGGAAGCAATGTGGAAAGGCAACCCTCCCAGGCAAAAAAAGAGAGGAGGGGCTGGCTTTAGAATCTGGGAGGTAAAGGGAGTAAAAAGCAGAGCAGGTAAGTTTCAAATCCTGCAACAACAAGTAATTAAAAAAAAATAGTGGAAGAAGGTACCAAACCTCCTCCTTCCATCCCTTGCATTTGGCAGTGAATTTCTAGTTTTGATACCTGACTATGGTATTGTAAGAAAATTACATTTTCATTATGGAATGCACCAAATTATTTGGGATTTGCATGTCTGTAGCTTACTCTCAGAAGTATCAGGGGAAAGATGTGAATTTATATACAGAAAGAGAATGAGAAAGCAAACAGGGCACAGTGTTTGCAGTTGGGGAGCTGGGTAAAGGCATAAGGATGTCTGAATTATTTTTGCAATTTTCTGGCAGTTTGAAATTAATTGAAAATAATAGAAAGCTCTCCTCAATGCTCACTGCCAATGGCAGCCACTTGGGAGCCACAGCTCCACCTGAGGGCTACAGGTGCAGTGTGTGAGTCACCTCTCCCTGCACCTCCCTTCTACCTTTGTGACTTCAATAACTATTTATGGAAACAGGAACTTGGAAGACCAGGAACTATACTGCTGACCACCTTCGGTGCTTTCTTAAGAAAACTGGGATGAAATAGATTGAACTAACTTTAGGTTGTTCTTTAGAAGCACCATGACCAAGTGCATGGGAGAAAGGACAAAGTGCAAAAACGGAACAAAAAATCACACAAGCCCAGTATAAATCCTTTATCCACCACACAAACTCTTTCTCTCTTATTACCTTAGCATTTATCTTCTATGCAACACTTTTCCAAATGATTCCCAATGATAGTCCCCAAATAGAAACTAGCTAAACAACCATCATTTTTCATCTTTTGAATGAGTAAGTCCAGGTGTTTTAATTTGTCTCCATCTAGTTAATTTTCATGGCTTGGGGATCAATTGCCATCTGGATTGGAATAAGTTTTATTTACCTTATCAAATTTTATTAATATTACCCTTTATTATTAATTTAACTAATTTATTATTGCTATGTAAACCTAACCCTGACTCTTTGGTTCTGCAATAAATTAAATTTCATTTCTGATCACATATAATAATAACACAGGACATGTGCTGGACAGTGATTGACAGGGTTGGGCTAGGTGTATTTGATAGTATAGCAGAAAAGAGCAGAAAAGAGAATGAAACATTAAGGTAACACATCCAGAGAGTTTATTTTACCTGATCTTCTAGGTGGAATCTTTATAAACACAGGACAGAAAAAAAGACTGAAGTTAAGAATCACATTAAAAAGTGTCACTTCATATGAGACCAACCAAACTAAAGACAACAGTGGCTATGACAATGGCAAGTATAAATATATGTCAAACAACAGTAATGGAGATGACCTGATAATCAGATACTTTCACATAGATATTTTGTCATCAAATCTAGGAAGATAATTATCAGGTTGTAGCAAAACCAAAAGCTGAAAGGCAGAGGGAAGTCAGAAGACAGATGCCACTTGCAGCTGAAGACAAGAGTCAGAGAAAACATGCTGGAGGAAGATGCTGAATCCTGGGTGGATGGAGCTAAAGGGGAGAGGGAGCTGGGAGAGAGACAGCTAGGGCTGAAGAGAAGCAGGATCAATCACCTCCTATGTGCAAAGGTGACAAAATATCCTCACCTCTAGGGCTGTCTCCAATCAGAAACCTATTCCCTGGTTCCAAGATTTTCCTTCTTAAAGGTCCTGAGAGTGAGGATGACCCACAAGAGTCCTTCTATAAACCCTCCAGATTGAATGCATTTCTTCCACTTGCGACAGGGACATGTGAAGAAAATGAGATTCTCTCAGCCTAATTGGGTGAGAGGCTCTATGTAGTAGATGCTCCCAATTCCCCATGTGTTCTGAAAACTGTTTTGTACTGTGGTCCTTTCACATTAAAAAAAAAGAAGAAGAAAGAAAGAAAGAAAGAAAGAAAAAGAAAGTACACACACAAAAAAAAATGCACCAAAACCAAGCAAACTAAAAACAAACAAACAACAACAACAAAAAAAAAACAAACAAAAAAAACCTTCCACTGTGGTGGTCAGTGGCTAGAGGTAAAGAAATTATTTTTTATGGAGTTATGAGTATGTTGAATCAGACCTTTCCCCTCTGGGACCTCCTGAAGAGTGTGACATGTGTCTCCAGAAGTTTTGGGGCACACGTGGGGGATGCATGTCTGATTTCTGTCTGAGGAAACTAAAGCTGAGCCTGGGCTGATGTGCTGCTCTGCAGGGGAGGGTGGAGAGATGACAGGTGGGTTCTTTGCAAGCAGCAGTGACTCCCAACACTGGAGAGGGCTGACTGCTCTGCTCGGACATGGAGGCACTGGAAGAAGCTGGATCCAGACAAGGAAAGAGAGCAGAAGCTCACCAGATGCTCCCCCAACTCAGACAACAGCCCATGGTGAGCCCAGCTGGGGGAGGGGCGGACCTGGACAGTAAGTGCCGCTTCAGAGGACGAGCATTGCCCTGCACTCAAGGGAGACTCCACTGTGATAAGAAATGTCCATAGAATGCTATTATTTAAGAGTTGCTGGAAAAGGCAAGAGACTTGCCAGAGATGTCACACAAGGGACAAGAGCAACTGGCCCCAGCGGGAAAACCTAGTCTCATAAGGGAGAGTGATAAAGCTTATGTCTGATTGCATCTCCTGATCCAGCTTGTTTAATAAACAGGTAAACAGTCAAAGTGCTAAACCCACACTGAGGAAAGCTGACAAAGACAAACCAGCCATTCTACTGTTCCAGGGTCACAGCTCAGTCAACAGAAAAGTCCACACGTGAAAGAGCAAAGCACCAAGTAGGGACAGCAGTGTCTGTGTGCCACAGTGACAGGGACAGATGAGCCGTGTCTGAAGCCTAATGGCGAACTGCTTCTGTGCTTTTTCAAGAGATACTGTGGTGCATCTCAGAACCATGCCAGCTGCACCCTCCTCGGTACCAGACACTAATTATCTATTTTCTCCCACATCTTATCATGTTGCTCAAGGCTTGCTCACTGTCCACCTGTTTATGTATAAGAAATTCAAAATTTATTTTATCCACCAAACAAGTTAGGTCCTCCACGAAGAAAGTATCAAACAAGGAGGAGGATGCTGAGATTTCAGGTCACCAGCAAAGTCTCTGAGGCTGCCACTGTCACACTCAAGCCTAAGAGAACCCCCCACTGCTGAGGGTGCCGGTGAGTCTGAGCTATTTCTCCCCCCAGCAGAATCCACAGCTGAAACACCTGTCGCCTTGTTTTCAGGAGGCTTAGATCGTCATCAGTAGAGATGCCACAATACTAAATCTAGTTTGAATGTGAGAACATAATGTCAGCATTTTCAGAAAAATGTGTTGTAAATACAAAATGAATAAAACAATACAGTTTTATAAACTATATTTGTAGCTAATAAGAGATGTCTAAAACTACAGATCAGAGAATAGTCAACAAGAGTTGTGAAACTATGTGTTTTTACACAGAATCCTTGCAGAAGTATGACTGTGTATTTCACAAAGAGCCTAAAATACTAACTCTTGGAACACATAAAAACTTGCAAAATCTGGATCTCTTGATTCCAAAGGCAGGAACTGTGTGAAAAGGCTGTGTGGCATGTTTATTTCTCATGTGTGACCTGAGGAAAGCCACAATTAAAGAAGAGTGCAACGGGTATGAACAACACACACACACACACACACACACACACACACACACACACACACACACATCAAAAGTAACCCATTCTTTTGGTGAGAAGACTTGGAAAAGGGACGTCTGTGAATGCAGGAGAACGGGGTCACTGTTTTCTTTATTCTTTCTCTCTGGTCATAAATATTGACTGATACAGAAGTGGTTGTGTCCGGAAAGACACCTATATGCTTGAATAAAAACTCATCTTTCTCGCCAAATGAAACAGTAAAAGGAACCCTGTGGTCTCATGAGTGTAAAGAAATTCTCAGGATTTTTACCTCTTTTTTCCACTTTGTTTTGGATAGAGAGAGGCTGTACTTATGCAGAACTGTGTGGCTATGTGGGAAAATAAAACTTTGAGAGAAAGTGGAAAAAACCAAGACTTTTAATAGTCAAATTGTGGTGGAGGAAGGTGATTACTGAAAGTGGAGATAATTTACTGCTGTAAATGAAATATTTATAAACCTTGTGTCAAGCTAATGATTTATTTCATCTTGATCAGAAAACACTCCCCCCCGCCACCTCCCAAAGTAACACAGACTTTGGTAAATAAAATATGGTGTAAACCAAAGTGAAAGTCTCAAGTTAACATTAGAGTGGCACGTGCACATCACAGAGAAACATCATGGCAAATCGTTGAAAGCAGAACTTATACTGGAACCATTGCTCGATAAAGGCATGACAGAGCTCCCATCTGAAACTAAAAAAACCCATAATAACAACAAAATAAAATTCTCCAGAGGTTTGTAACAGAATTCAGGATAATGTTCGCTATGTTCAGCATACAATTTGAAATAATTTGACATATATAATATTAGAAAATTGTGACCAATTGTCAACAAAAGAGAAAATTAATGAATTCTAATGAAGAGATTATCCCCATATAGAAATTTTCAGACAAAGGCTTTAAAGAATCTGGTATAACCATACCCCCATGAGGTTAAAAATAGAAACTTTTGAAGTAAACACAAAGACCTAATTTCCCAGATGAAAATTTGAAACTCCTTATTTAAAAGTTTCATCAGTATTATGTTTGCATTTTTTAATAGTGCAGTTTTTGGGGACAGGGATCCACAGCTTTCATATTCTTAATGGACTATGTAACTCCCTCAAAACATGAAGGGTAGAATTTGCTGTCGGGAAGTGCCACTAGAGGGCGCACATCAGCCAGCAGAGGGAGCATGAATGTGCTGCAGGAACAAGCGCCCAGCGAGAGCCACAGCCTGGAGTCCAGTCCCTGGAGGAAGAGCCCAGGCGCACAGCGTGAATAGTCACTTTGAATAGTTTAAGTAGACACAGTATTTTTTTCCCCATTCTTTCACATGGTGTGTTCCAAAGTATAAACAATATTAAAAAAAAAAAAAAAAAAAAAAAAAAACAGTGAAATTTTAGAACTGAAAACCATAATATCTGACATAAAATATTTCAAATGGATGAACCCGAAAACAGAAAGGATGTGACATTGAAGACAGTGAATGAACTTAAAAATAAATAGAAATAAACCAATCTGAAACATAGAGATAAAGGATTGGTAAAAAAAACAAAAACAAAAAGTGGCACTCAGATACAAGTTGGAAAATATTAAAAGGTAACAAATTAATGTAATTGAATTTCCCAGAAATGTTTGAATAAATAATGGCAGAAAATTCACAAATTTGGGAAGGGAAATAAATTTACAAATATGAGAAGCTCAGTAGGACCAACAAGTTATCAGCTTAAAGAAAACCAAACTCTGCAACTTCAGAAAAACAGTTGCTGGGGATAGAGAGTGATATGACATAACAAGTAAAACAGTCAATTCACTAAAAAGAAATGGGAATTCTAAATATGTATGCAGTTGACAACAGCTTTCAAACACCTGAAGACAAAAAGTACCACGTTTCCTCAAAGGGTGTGTCTTTCATAGACATGTTTATGTCCGGATACTCAGGACTCTTGAATACCCAGTGAACTGAACGGATTGCATGTTACTTTGAGGAAATGTGGCACATTTTGTGTTTCTGCAGATAATGAGTTAGTCCCTTAATAACCTTAATGATGGATAAGGCCATTCCAAAATATGTTAGAATACATTTAGCACATATTCAAAAACTGCTTTTCTTCATTAAAAAATATGATACAATTTTAAACAGAAATGTTACAAGTACAGACCAAATTATTCTCCTCTGAACCACTTGAGAGTAAGTTGAACGACTGAGAGCCCCAACCTCTTATCCTTTACTATGTATTTCCTACAAATGCAAAATTATTCTACATAACCCAGTACGATGGTGGAAACAAAAAGTCAGCATTATTATATTACTATATGTAACCTAGAGGATTGTTTCAGGTTGTGACAGTTGTACTCAGAATGTCTTTTGAAACAGACTCATCCAGTCCAGAAGCACATGCTGCCCTGTCTCTTTAGTTTCTTTCAGTCTGGAATAGTTTTCAGTTTTTCTCCGAATTTCATGATCTTAATGCTTTTGATGATTATATACCAGTTATTTGGTTGAATGTCACTCAGTCTGGATTTGTTTGCTTTCCTCATGGTGAGATTCAGGTGACACATATTTGGCAGGAACGTCCAGTACTGATACTGTCTTCTGCTCATGGCCTCCCATTAGGTGTTCCATAATTTCAGTCAGGCCCATTACTGATGACATTCACTCAGTTTCTAAGTTAAGGTGGTATCTGTCTGATTTCTGTCCTTCATTTGAAATTAATAAAAATTTGTCTAAAACTTCCTTGATAATTCATGTACTTATTCCTCATTAAATAGCCACTTAAACTCATGGGTTCATATTTTCCTTAATAGATAATAATGTTAAGATTGCTAGTGGTCCTCAGAAAGTTCATGGAAAATGCATATTATGGAAACAGCTATGCATAGATTGCATTTTTTTTTTTTTTGGCACCAACATAAACTCATACTATCTCGTTTAGTTTATCAAAGGCAGATACCCCATATCTGGGCATTTTCTGACAAATCACAAGCACTTCTTAAAATTCCTCTTCTACTCACCACATCTCTGAGTGGTAGAACTGATAACTTCGTACACCAAGATTATCAGGGAATCGGAGCAATGACAAAGCCTTTCTGCTCTCAATACTATGCACAAGTCCCAAGGGCAGGGAGCCTGAAGAATATCTTTGAGCTTCTGAGGTTGTGTTATATCTGGGAGACATTGTCTTAGATAAAGAGATAGGAAGGGAAGCAGGTCATGAACTCCGAAGAGAGCAGTAGAACACTGTTAATAGGACGGCAGACTGACTCTTTCCTCTGGTTCCCAGAAAGAAATGTGATCTTGGCAGACAAATCTGTGCTTCCTGGTCTGATGTGGAACACATGGGGACACTGGGCCTCGCTGACTTACTGAGATAAGACAACCCTTCAGGTGTGCCCAGCCCTGCCTAAGCCCCTGTGATTTTCATCTTTCCTGAGCACAGCCCACCAGCCTGAAGACTTATTCAGTGGCTGGTCACACCCTGTGTTGGAGTCAGTCCGCACGTAGCATGGATATGAAGGTCACCGCCCAGTCCTGGGGCTCCTGTTGCTCTGGCTCCCAGGTAAAGGGGAAGAACACTACAAATTTACTCTGCTACTGTGTTCAGTGCTTCCTGGCTCTTTAGGGAAGTCCTCTTATAAGATGGTTAAACAGGTAGTAATTTGTCTTTATGTTTCCCATCCTCAGGTGCCATGTGAGACATCCAGATGACTCAGTCTCCAACCTCCCTGTCTCCATCTCTAGGAGACACAGTCACCATCACTTGCCAGGCCGGTCAGGGCATTAGCAAGTGGTTAGCCAGGTATCAGCAGAATGCTGGAAAAGCTCCTAAGCTCCTAATCTATGCTGCATCCAGTTTTCAAAGTGGGGTCCCCTCTAGGTTCAGTGGCAGTGGATCTGGGACCAATTTTACTACTGCCATCAGCAGCCTGGAGCCTGATGATTTTGGAACTTATTACTGTCGACAGCATAGTAGTACCCCTCCCACAGTGTTACAAGCCGGAACATACACCACGCAGGGAGGCAGAACTATGAGGCTGGGCTATCCCAGCTGTTCTTCCTGGTGCCTTGATCTGCTGAGAGCATTTCTCAGGTGCAATGAGACTCTGGAGGTCACCAGAAGGTTTGGTAGAAGGAGCCAGGGAGGCTCCTGTGAACCCTAATCCTCTTTGTTTCTCCTCTGCCCCAGCAGCACAGACATGACAAGTTCTCTCCCAATTTTATGAAGAACAGATATCATAACATGGGAGGAGTTTGAAAAAAAAAGCCACTTTAGGTATTTCAAAGAGGATTTTTTTTTTAAATTTCTATATACGGGTCATGAGACTCTGAACTATATCCTATAGAACAAAACATGACCCGTACTTATCTCCATATCCTCAGATCAACTCAAAATAGATTAAAGACTGAAATATATGTCCTGAAACTGTAAAAATCCTAAAAGAAAACACAGGGGAAATAATTCTGGGAGTAGGATTGGGCAGAGAGTTTATGAATAGGACGCCCAAAGCACAGGCAACACAAGGAAAAATAAATTGATGAGAGTATATCAAACTAAAAAGATTCTGCATATCAAACAAAACAAATAACACAGTGAAAAGACAACCTACACAGTGGGAGAAAATATTTGCAAACTAAGCATCCAACAAAGGATTTATATCCAGAATATACAAGGAACTCAAACAACTTAACTGTAAAAACACAAATAACCTTATTTAAAAATTGGCTAAGGAGTTGAATAGGCATTTCTCAAAAGACGATAGATATACAAATGGTCAACAGAAAAAAAAGTGCTGGACATCACTCAGCAACTGGGATATGCAAATGAAAACCACGTTAAGTTATCATCTCACCCCAGTTAGACTGGCCATTATCAAAAAGACAGAGACTAACAGATGCTGGCAAGGATGCAGAGAAAGGGGACCCACTGGTGGTGGCACGTTAAATTGGTAGAGACATTAAGGAAAATTATAAGGATTTTCGCAAGCAACTACAGACAGAACTGTCATATGATCCAGCAGTTCCACTGCTGGGTACATACCAAAAGGAATGCAAATCATCAAGTTGAAGTGATATCTGCACTCCCGTGATTATTGTAGCTCTATTTGCAATAGCCAATGGAACCAAAATGTCCATTGTCAGATGACCAGATAAGGGAAATGTGCTGTATTTACACAATGGAATACTATTCTGTCAGGAAAAAGAAAGAAATACTGCCATTTACAGCAGCATGGGTGAATTTAGAGAAAATCATGTTAAGTTTAATAAGCCAGGCAGAGAAAGAGAAATACTATATGTCCTCACTCATAAGTGGAGCCAAAAAAAAAAAAAAAAAAAAGGAAAGAAAGAAAAAAAGAAAGGTACAGCAATCACAATAATACATTCAACTTTCAAACAGAGAACAAAACTGAGGTTAGCATATGTGGAAAAGGGGGAGGGAAGTAAGGGAATTATTGGTAAAGGGCCATGAATATCGATTGCAGTGTGTAATGTTGAATGTACTAATTATCCAGACTTGAACATCACATATTCCATGCAGGTATTGATAATCAATGTTGTTAACTATAGATATGTTCAGTCAGCTATGTTCCAATTAAAAATAAATAAAATGATTTTTTTTAAAATACTATATGTGCACAGTAGCCAAAGATGCACATTGTGGGAACAGGAGATTCTCTGGTTTTCCTCCAGAAGCCAGTTTATAAGCTGCATAACCATGTGGTTCTCAGAACTGTCTGGGACGCCCAGGGGTGCGGGTGCTGATGCTCTCCTGCAGCACCTCTCCAGGTGACTCTCCAGTCCTCACCTCTGTCCCTGTGTTAGGCTTCAGGCACTGATGGATAGTATCCAATCTTCCTCTTTTGACTTCCAAATCTCAGGACCCGTGTTAACAGCTCTACAGGAAACCAGGCAGGGAAAAGCATTTCTGGCAAATGTACTTCCAGAAAGATAGTGATGATGGGAATGAGCAGCTGGCAACCCAGTGCTGTCACTATTTTGCAACTCTCAGAATTTGCCAGTTTGGGGATGACACCAGAAAGCACTTTGACGTGCTTCCAAATATCAGCAAGTCTGGGATTATAGCAGGAAGATTTCATGGATAAATAGAAAAAAAGGAATCACAGGAAAAAAAATATTGAAATCATGTGAAAAAAAATTTTTAAAAAGACTTTGTTGACAAAATGTATACATACAGATGTAAGGATATAACCTTCTTTTTCTTTAATGTAAGAATTGTTGCTACTCAAAATCTGTCCGAAAGCCAGCAGCATCATCAGCATCACTGAGAGTGTGCAAATAACAGACCCACCTTAGTCTTGCTAAATGACAATGTATATTTTAACAAGATTACAAAGTATCTATTGAAGGAATAAGAAGCTATGTTTTAGGAAATATTTACTTCAGTTAAAGAGGTTTTTGCAAGTTTCGAATTTTGTTTTTATTCATTGAGGCCAGTTAAGGAAATCCGTGTAAAGTCACGTGCTCAAAAATTCCATTATTTTATCATTAACATGTAATTAAATTTGACTTTTTAAATGCCAAATGTTGAAAAATATTATTGGTCAATAGTATAATCAAGTACTTTGAGAATTAAATGGAGGAAATATTTTCTAAAAATCTGAGTAATTCCAAAGTCAAAAGAATAAAGCCAAATTTTGGGTATGACTGTTGCATATGTTCAAACTAAAATTTGCTTATCTCTTGACTTTAGGATACTGGTTATTGCACTAGGTAGTCACTGCCACTTCAGCTATGGCTGTAGATCAAACCAAATCCATGGGCTGGAGACAAGCTCAGTGACCTGCAGCAGAACCACCCAGCAGATGCCTGTCTGGATCAGCTGCACCACTGTTAGCATGAACATCTGTAAACATGACAGTCATGATTAGCCTGGTAAGTCCCTGCATTTTTGAGTGGCTTATTGCAAACCCTTATTGGTGTAAAACTGACTAATACAATATTGAATATCCACACATACAGATAGATACATTTTATGAAAACTGATGAAATTAATATGCATGCTTAAAAAACCATTCATAGCAAGATAGAAAACACAGAAGAAATCAAACTCTAAAAGGTATTTAAATAAACAGTAAAATTTAGCTCATTTATATAAAATATCTAACAAAGAATGTTAGTGCTAAGTTTACCTATCTATATTAGTACTTGTGGTTTTCTTTATTTCATAGGTGTTTTAGTGTTACAGAGAAATTCAGCAGAAATTAAATGTCGTTCCCATACCCTCCCCCCACCCACATACACATTTTCTCCTAATATTTATGTATTATAGTAGTATGGTATATTTGTTATTATTTTGAATCAATATCGATATATTATTATTATTAACTTAATTTTACCTTAGGCATCCCTCTTTGTATTCTATACTTCTATGGTTTTGCCACATGCATAATATCATTTATTCACCATTACAGTGTCATACAGAATAGTTTTCCTTCCCTGAGAATCCTCTGTGCTTCTCCTATGCATTTCTCTCTGCCTCCTTCCCTCATACTCTGAACATACTCTGAAATCCTGCTGACTACAGTAGCTTTTTCTTCCTGTTACATTAAACATTTATCATTTGTTTGTATGGGAAACATTCAAAATCCTTTCTTCTAGGTAAGTGAAACTATAGGATAAATTGCTGTTAATTAGAGTCACCCTATGGTGCTACAGGACACTAGA